CCCAGATCTGAATTCCAGACATGGGTTTAAGGTCCAGATCCACAAAGTTTTTAGGAACCTAACTCTCTGAATTGATCTGTTCTGAAACTAAATTACTTGATCTAAGACCACAGTGAAGGTAACAAAGCAAAGACCTAAACCAAGGTCTCCTAAACTTCAAATGACCTTCCCAAGTGCTGGATCCTCTTTCATTTCTTTACTAGTAAAGGCGCCATCTGTAAGGCATTTTACATAAATGAAAAGTGCATATCCCACACACACCACTGAACTGTCATAACACCAATCCCACTTTCAGCTGGAATTTTCAACTCTTGTAGAAAATTTCTTGTGCTGAAGTTTTTTCTCATAATTAGTAAGGGGATTTAAATTTTTTTTTTACATTGAAAATATAAGGAAAAACACACTAACATTACTTTTCAGCTGATTCTCTGCCATCAGAACCAAGTATAGGGACAAAAACAGGCTAACTAAGAAGTCAACTAGAACTGAAGAGAAACCCAGACCTACAAATCAGTTATGTGAGTCCATATAAGTAACTTCAGCTATTTCCTCAAATTTCACCACTGCTGTGTGGTAAGAAGTAAAATTAACCTTCCCATCCTCAATGGGATGTTGTGAGGATTAATTGGCTGAAACTCGTCAAGCAATATAATATAGTATTATAAGATACATACATATACATATAAGATACATAGTATCTTGTTGCAGCTTGTTTTCTTATACTACTAAACACAAATCAAAGACCTTAGTCTTTCCTGGAATCTGTGATCTCTTTCAAAAATTTGAAGATAATTCCTTTCACAGTGACATTTTTTCTATCCCAAACTGTATCTAAAAAAAAATTTTTTCACATCGTTATTTCTCAGCATATGCATAACTTAAAATACATGTATTAACAGGGCATATGGCATCTACTTGAACATTAAATTTAGAATCTTCTCCTTTCAAAATATTTGCTTATTGATAACAACTATAAATCCATCCTAGCAAAAATGATACAAACTTTTTCCTTTCAAAGACTCACACTCTTTTTTTTTCCAGTGGAGAATGCAAGAAAGATCCTTACAACTGCAGTGTAGCTACTTTCCAAACTACATTAGAGTGACTGATTTCCTGTGACAAAAACTTTCCTAGACTACTATTGAGTCTCAAAATGGTTTGTCCCCCATTAAAAAAAATATATATCTTTCCTACATTTGCCAAATCCAGTCCTTAAACGGTTTGGCATAACCAGCAATATTGTCATTCACTCAAATCTTAGAACTTTCCACAAAATCCCTACTGAAGAGTGCATCTGTTGTGTGTTCACAGGACCCGCAGTTATCAAGGATTCCAAAGTGCACGTTATCAGCTGCTACGAAAGGACTATGAAATCTGTCATCCTTTGTGCACCAAATGTGACACTTAATAACCTTCAGCAAATACAGTAGTGCCAGCTAGGGTCACAGGAGTAGAGATTACACCTTCTGATTAGCTCTCCGTGTAGAGTATCATAAAATTTAAACTGATACATGGAGAATAAAGACAGATCTTAGTTTCATTCTGTGAAGACAAAATTTCTCATACTTTCTGTCAGAAAATAGATGCCTTTGATATGTGTATATGCTTATGTATATATACATATATATATTCTGGCAAGAAATAAAAAGACTCAGTAATACAACTTCAAACAGAAGGATTTAAAACTTAGAGAAGATACAAAATGCAAAGTTACAATTCCTGCATGTTTAGTTCCTATGGGCTCACTCCTGCAAGGCTCTGTACTATGGTCATGCTCCAATAAGGAAGTGAAACATGCCAGCAATCTCACTCATTTCAAAGGATCTACTCATATAATTTAATTTAAGCAACTTGTTTAAGCATTTCATTTAATGTAAAAGAGATCACTAAGCACACTGCAGATCCAGGACCCCTATGTCTAAGGAGAGTATCAGTCACGTAGTGTTAAGGACACAAAAAATTTTCCTTACCAGACACGCAATTTCTGGTATTACCAAATTTAGTGAATGCTCTTCCAAGTACTTGGTTATTTGGAAAATATAAAGTAGTCACTTGGGGGTACAAGAAATGGTTAAAAAACCAGAAAAATCAATAAACACTCTATTCTACTGCTTACAGGCTAAGAAGGTTTGAGTAAAAAAATGAAAATGTTTTCCATTAAAAATAAGAAGTGGGAATTTAGGAAACTAAGATAGTTCTGAAAACAGACTTTAGAAAAATCACTTGCTGTTCACATAAAACCTGTCTGACAGTGTTTTGACACATATCAGAGGTGAAGATTTTTCATCACTTCACAAACTCCAGCTAAAGTAGCTGCATAATAAAGGCTTACAGATTTAGAGAAAATGCCTGAAAACTGTCTGAACGATGAGCAGAACAGAAACTGCTCTGAGGCATGATCTCATTCTTACTGCCACAGAGATGTACTTGCCCAATTTCATTTCTGCAGCTTGGATGCTGCTGAAGTTCAAAGCCAAGGTCTCCTTCCCACAGAACTGCCAAGGGAAGACAAGCTGAAGATGATACAGCACCATTCTCCTCCCTGAGCATTAGAGCCTCCTATGGCACTGCCTGTCACCTGTCAGGGAACAGGGAACAACCATGCAGCTTCCTTTCATCACAGTGGCAGCAAATATCAAAAAAGAAAATATATTAGCTTACTTTTCTGTTAAAATAAGGTTGTACTGCTTCACACTTTGCAACCTACCTAAAAACTATATTGAGAAAGTTTTTCTCCATGAAATCCTAGTTAATTTCTAAGTAGCTAGACAATGTGAGAATATAATATTTCCTTGTTCAGCTGTTCTAGAATACAAATGTTAAACTCTGCATAAAAGATACATAATCATTAATGGTAACTCATCCTGGAAGGCAAATCATTTTAGTATCTACCCTGTCTGTTCCTGCGAGATAGAAAATATTGGAACAAAACAAATAAACAAACAAAACCAAAAAAACCAACAACAGGAAAGCCCAATTGAGAAAATTTGGCAGGAGTTTTTATGTTTTATCTAACTGAGCAATAAAACCATATTCCAGAAAAAAGCTAAAAACTGAACCTCAACTGCATATGTGTTCTTGAAACAAGCCAGGAATTGTGAACTAAGTTGCACCTGGCAAGGCTAATAGTTGAAAACAAAATATTAACCAGTAGTCGTTGATGAAATTATTGATACATGTAACTCACATCCAGCAGGTTTAAAATGTATTCCAAAATCTGCAGACACATCATAATATTAAGACGAGGCCAGAGTTGTAGGACTCATGCTTTTGAAATCACAACTCATACAGAAGAAGGTAAAGAATACACAGACAACTTGGCTCAAGCATGAATGCTGAAGATTTAACAGGATGACCTTAATTTCTTCTTAAAAAATAACCCCACCAAAACCACATGTACATATAGTATGTTTTAAGGTAAATCAACAGCTTTAACTGTAAACAACTAGTAACACCTTTTAATAAAAGGATTTTATTAGCCTTCAGCTCAGGTGATATTGCAAGTCAAGTGTTTAGTAAGACAAATCTGGATTTCAGGCAGCAGTAACAGAATGATGTCCTCATTTTTTTTAAGAATAATTTCTATTGTGTTTAATTTGAGGTTTTTTCCAACAGGTTGGCCAGTTGCTATAGTCCTATAGCTTGAACTGAATGTATCACTACAGCATACACCCCTTCCTCAGGCAATTATAAAGTGGAAAGTAAATCCAAAGTCAGTTATCAAGATTTCTATCTTAGTTACAAACACCTGGAAATTAGAAATTACAACATAATGGTGGGGCAGTAATAATTTTACAGTTATGTAGAGAGTGAAAATTACACTGTTTTGCGGACTGCAACTTGGTATGTTCACTCTTAGAGTAGTGCCAAGAACTAGATTAAACTCAGAGATCAGTGCTAAAATGCATAAAGATGGGAAACAAATATATTAAGCATTCAAGCTCTAATCCTAGGGAGTCTTGAGATACCAGATTTGAAATTCACCTTGTCAAGCATGTCCTATAAATCTCTATAGGGAAACAATCCAAAGTCCAGTGGGAAAATTCTTTCCACTAGTTTCACTGAGTTTTGGATAGGGCTCCAAAAACACCCAGAACTCAAGGACAGCTACAAGTGAGCACCCAGAATATCATTTTCCAATGGTATAAATCATTAATCTATGACTCCTAAAGTTCCTGAGATACCAGTTTATGTTGAAATCAAAATGTAGGATGGGAGGGAATAGGTACAGGGGTCAAGGGACAACAAGCAGAATAATACGATTTCAGAACGTAATGATTTCATGATTGGGGAAGAGCAACACAAACAGTGTCAGAGCCCATGAACTTTCCCAGAACCAGTAATCAGAGCGATATTTTAATGACTGCTATATGTGTGGGGCAATAAAAGCAGACAATTTTATTGTGTTGCATAAATAGCCAAACTGTTTACTCTCCAACTTTTCTGGTAATTTAAGCACAAATAACTTTAAAATTTTAACACTGGAAAAATTACATCAATTCAAAAAAACCTAGATCTTAGTTATCTGCAGTGTCACATGGTGCATGCACACAAGCTGTAAACCTGAGAACACGTACAGTAAGCATTTTCCAACTATATAGTTCTACGATTAAAGCAAAGGTCTCCTTAGTGTTGCAACACATCCTATGTTGTGAAACAGGAGCAATTTGTTTAAGTGACAAATGAAAACAGCTTACCTAATCCTTTTAGAAGATCCTATCAATTAAGAAAATAAATGCTAAAGGTCTTCAAACGAAAAAGCCCACCTTACAAAAAAAAATGTGTTTTTCATGATATTTGTATTCAAACACAGCAGGAACTGTGGAAGTCTAAATAAAACCAAGGTAATTACACTGGCTTTTTTCTACACAGATATAAATTTAAATAAGTTTTTAAGAATACTCAGTTTGAGCCATAAGTGGCAGTTCTGTATTTCAGGACAGTTAATCAAATCCTACCATTTAGCATTCAATTAATTATTTTTTAAAAATCAGACTTACATTGTTTTTTCATCTCCTTAAGCTGATCCTTAAAATACATATATTTTTCATTCTCTTGAAAATCTGAGTCACTGTTCTTGCTCTCCATTTCAAGGAATTTTTCTTGCGCCAAGTTTTCTAAATCTGGTAAATTTTCTGGTTTTTCTCGTTTTACCTGTAAGGAATAAGAAATAGAATGTATTCATTATGACACACTTTCAAGACATCAAGCAAAAATTCATTAGCACGATCTCAGTTTCTTTTGACTACAGTTAGGCTTCCTGCTCTGAAGCCATAACCTCCAAGTTACCTCTATTTCAGTAAAAGTAACTGTGAAATGTAGATATTAGCTTCTCAGAGTCATTCAACTCACTTGCTGGATATTTCTCACACCCGCAAAAGGGAAAACAGAACTGACCCGCAGACAAATTTACCTGTGTAAATGGTGAAGGTAAACGTGTTAACAGGAACCAGCTTAACACTTAATGAGAATGAAATCAAAGTATGTAACTTTGTCCAGAAAGCAAGAAGATAATAGAAAATCTGGCATAACTTTCATTAAAGAGTTTTGTAAAAACCTCCACTCACTTATCACTTCAGAATCAGGTTTACAGAAGCCTATAATCTACATACAAGAGTAGTGTGATAACACCAACAAAAACAGTACAGCTAATGTGAAAGGAAACCACCTCAATTTATTTGTGCTGCGTGAACTAGAAGCACTAAGCCATACAAACAGGCAAAAACACAGTTTCTTGAAAAGCACCTACTTACAGCAAATACATCTGGAATGATCTGAAGAATAAATACTCAGAAAAGTGAAATCATCACACAGACAACATTAAGATATTCTAGGTATGCAAAAATTGCTTTGGGAACCCCCTAAAATGAGTAATTGGAGTTTTCTGTTTCTGAAGGCAACATTAAATTCTAGGGAACTGTAACTTTGATAGGTCTTCATTAGAACTAGCTTACATGTGGTAGGGACTGTGCTGTGCAATGATGATCAGCAACAGCACCAAGTCAGAAAGAAGGTAGACATCTGTCAAACCCTTACTGCTAAGCATTTTCTGAACCAGAAAAAGGCCACTTCTATCCCAAAATCATGTCAAAATATGACAATCTAAAGAAAAGGAGGTAAGCACCATATCTCCTAAGCTATTCTTCCCCTACTACACACATTAAATTCTGCCTTTTACCAGACCCTGACATTATTCATTGTGAAAGACAGGAAAAAAAATGAGCCTAATGAGAAATAAAAGCAGTCCACTTCATCAAATCATTTACAGGTTTGAAAGTTTACAGAGACCCTGGAAATCCTACAGAATATATTTTGTTTCAGGAGCCAAACAAATAATAAATGTTCATGTAAAAATGGGCTTAGCAGATACATAAAATAAAAAAACACACACTTTACTATTCCTTAAGCAAAGCAAAGTAATCTATAGAACTATTACTTCTTCCAAGGGAAAAGCCAGTTTGGCACATTTACTTTCGGCAGACGCAAGTTGTGGCAAGAAGAAAAGTGAGTAAAAAACATGCACTACCAGGTGATAGCATGAAGTTTTCAAACACACCTGGAGATAAAAGATCACCTACCACAACGTCCAGCTGCAAATGGGAAAGACTCAGTAATACTTTGGTACCAAAGGAACCCATTGACTATGATAGACTAACAGCATGTCATCTGAGATGCTTAAACAGCTGCAGGAGCCAGACAGGAGTGTAGAGTCCTTAACCCATGAAACCTGACCAAAAGAGCAATGGAAAACTGAGCATTCTGTGTGCCTGAGTGCCTTGAGGACAATCGGACACACTCAAATGATTTGCCTGTGCCAGCATCACAGCACACTGCTGCAACAAAAGGCCTATCACAACCCCAACCAGCATTGTTCAGTACTCAGCTGGAGAAGGAATTTGGCCATCAAGTGTACGCAAGAACAAAAAGGCAGTTACTAAATCAAAATTCATTTAAAATCCAAGACATTATAAAAGAATGCTTTGATCTGGACTCATGCAGTGCAAACATATTTCTTTCTGCAATATCATGCTGTTTTTACCAACATTCTCTCTTCAACATAAAATAACATATAGACACACACAAGAATAACAGCCCACCACTAAGATCTGCCCTGATGACAAATGAGAGCACTATGTCCAGATCCCATATAGAAGATCCAGCTGTGTATACTAAAAATAACCCTGAAGTGATTCTAAGAGAATTGCTGAGACTGACACAAAGAGTAAAATAAATTATGTAGACATTCATTACAGGCATCCATCAGTAGTAAAGACAATGCCAATAATCTTTTCCTCTCCACAGGGACCACATTACACATTGATAGAGTTACATCAGGATCTCTTTATCTTTTTCTTGACTCACAGAAGATTTGAGTGCAGATATGCATCAACATAGCATCTTCAATCATACCCTCAGACTGAGAGGTGAAAAGAAGGGCACAGCTAATGTTAGTTCAAACAGTGGTTCTCAACTCCAAGAATTAAGACTTTACACATATGAGCAGAGAAAAAGGCAGGAGCTGTAACTTGCAGCATTATGCTGCCGAAGAGGACGTATGTTTGAGAAGGTGCATTACATCACTCTATGCTGGTGCTACCTCACCTTGAGTGCTGTGTGCAGTTTTGGGCACCACAACGAAAGAAAGATATAAATTTGTTAGCGAGCACCCAAAGAGGGGCTGCAAAGATGGTCAACAGTTTAGAGGAGGAGCTGTACAAGAAATGGCTGAGGTCAGTCCAGAGAAGAGGAGACTGAGGGGAGAACCTCATTGCAGTCTGCAGCTTCCTCATGAAGGGAAGAGGAAGTACCTACCTCTGCTCTTTGGTGGCCAGCAACAGGATCCAAAGGAACAGCATAAAGCTGTGTCAGAGGAATTTAGGTTGGGTATTAGGAAAAGGTTCTTTATCCAGAGCCTGGCCAGGCACTGGAACAGGCTCCCAGGGAAGTGGTCACACTACCAAGGCTGGCAGAGCTCAAGAAGCATTTGAAAAATGCTCTCAGACACACGGTGGGATTCTTGGGGGTGTCCTGTGCAGGGCCAGGAGCTGGACTCAATTACTTTTATGGCTCATTTCTACCTCAGGATACTCTTATGATTCTATGATATGCACACGAATAAACTTTGTCTGTGCCACTGTAGAGCTACAAAAATTTGCATGAAGATATTTTACTAACCTCAAGAGAATGGTTATATAAAACTCTCCCTCAGCACCTAAATAATCACACAGCTTGATGCCATAGGTCTATCAAAGTAAGAGCAAGCCTGCTATGTGCTAAGGGCAACGTGAACAATTCCACCAGCTGTCAAGCGAATCAAGAGAAAAAAAAAGTTATTCACACCAGCTATATTCCCAATAGCTGTATTCCCAATTCCAATACATTACTAGATCGTGAGGACAGACCAGCACATATGACAAAGTCTCAGACAACCACCTCATACAGAAACCTAGAGTCAGGTGTGAGAGATGCTCAAAGAATGCACTTTCTTGTAGTTTAACTTCTTTCATGTTTACAATTTAAATTCAGTTTCTGTTCACCTCCACATGATTGCTTTCATTAAAATGATTAGTAGAGACACCATTCCTGACCACACTCAGTACTGTACCACACACATTCTATTACTGAAATACAAGGTAGACCTTCTGGAAGGTCAACACATCACAGGTGAATAATAAGGCATGTCCACCCACTATAATTAGAACCAAATACATTTTGCTGTGCACAAGCAATTTTTCTTTGGTGCTGTGTATCTTATGCCTTGAAGAGAGTTGAGAATGGTCTACATAACAACATAAATGAAAACAAATGAAAGAAGACATCCCATCAGTCCTAGATCCTCACAGTGGGACAGAACTACAACACCTTATACACTGCAACAGCACAACACCTTTACAAGTTCATTGCAGTCTTCTTTAGTTCTTGACACCCACCCAATCCTACTCTACAGATTCTTGATGGACGTAGGAATGATGAGATCAGCATAACAAAATGTCTGAGGACAATACAAACAAAGGGCATGGCTAATGGACAAGGCAAAGTTATCAGTATTTGGGGCACCAAGCTGGGGTCCTGTTCCTTCTTGTTCTCAGAAGCACATCAGATAAATGCGTACCAGAAGACCTGAAGTCATTGGCATGTTCAATTCCTCAGAATAAGTTACTTCACATGAGAACCATGAAAGACACATTAAGCAAACAACTGTTCGTTTAGCAGTGCTGTCAGCCAAAGCCAGCATGCTAAGTAACACCTTGCAGTCATTAGTCAATCCATTGAGAGCTACATTGATTTTGAAATGGGGTGGAGGCATACACACCCTACAAAGCATCCTGGAAATTACATGTAACGATGAACTGGGAGTGTTCAGGACATATGGTGAAAAGAAGTATCAGTCACAACAGCTTGTTTACAACAATAGGAAAAGCAAAAGCATCTGCTGTGCCACACCAGCAAAGAACCACACGGGTTTTTACACAGGGGCTCAGCAATAAGGAGACCAGACATGTTATATATAACATACATATACATATATGATCTACCAGAAGTCCTGATAAGAAAACACATTTGCAAACACTAAAAACTTAATTGCTTAGAAAAACGTAGCTGTAGTTTAACTATCAAAATATACATTTACTCACGGCCTTACACCACACCATTGAATCAGAGTGATATATGCAAAGGGGTTTCTTTGACAGGTAGTGCTTATGAAATGAGCCACTTCATGACATGTCTTCTGACAATATCCATCTGTAAGGATACACCTTCCTCTCGTGGATTCTTCCACTGGGAGTGTGTCTACTCTATGCCTAAACTGTTAAAACTATGACTCAAAAAATCAGCGTTTTTGAAAGGCCAGCTTGCAGAGCCTAAGGGAAGAGTAAATGCAGGGTACTCTAAGGGACAGTCTGGGAAATTTTTATTTAATCAATTACCATAACCACCAAGTCAAAAATAAAACGTTCTGTTCCAGACCAATCTCAGAACGAGTGAGGCCAAAGGTACCATAGACTGAAATTGGATCAGTTTGTGGTATTAGTCTCCATACAGTAAGGGATCAGTGTCTAAAAAGGCACAAATTAGCATAACCTTGCACGCTGCACTGCAGCATTTAATAACTGTCCTGCCCTGTCCCAAAACACTTCACAAAGATTAAACAA